TATATATATATACGCAGCCCTTGCTGCCATAAGATGCTGTTGTTCAAGGTACGGGGACTCCACCGGCGTCTCTTTATTTTAATTTATTTTGCGGGTTGTTTCTGTGTTGAGGGTTTAGACCATGTGGAGTGTCTGTACATTTCTTGCAAGAGTGCATGCATTTGATTTAATGGAGATGATGCATACAGCCCAATTGAGAGGCTTTTTCTTTTTATGTTTGTTTATATAGGGGAGGAGTCTTTATATGCTGTGCTCTATTCACCTTATTGTACGCCTTTGTATTATTGTTATTATTTTATTACTATTACTAGTATTAGTATTATTATACGCATTATTATACTTGATATTTTAAAGTCTTGCCTCTTGCTCTGGTGTTTAATGTGCGATTCCTTAAAGACAATGAAAGGCAGCTGCTACTTAAAAGAAGAAATCCACAAAAAAATGCATGCAGACATTATTTAAAATATATGAAAGGCTGCTCTGATAGAGCAGCATCAAAACAAAGAACGGTAGAAGAGGGGGGGGCCCCAGCTTGCTGGGGGCCCCCGGCACACCGGGGGCCCCCGGTACCCCCTAAGAGGCCTATAAGCGTACGAATTGCAGCAGTAGTGTTATAATTTCTGTTTATTATATTGGAATTATAATATAAATGATATACTTATTGCAGCGTGTCTGAGTGCTGTAGCTTCTGCAGCGGCAGGGGGCCCCCTGTTACTGTTGCTGGCGTTACTGCTCTTCTTCTATTTTGCTTTCGTTTGTTTGAGAAATAAAACCCTAATTCTTCTTTTATTCTTCTTTTTAAACTTCTTTCTACTGCCACCCAACCGCCTTCACAGTCTCCTCCTAACAGACGCAGCAGCAACGACAGCAGCAGCAGAAGAGCAGAAGCAGCAACAGCAGAGCTAGCAGCAGTAGTAGGGGGGTGGGGGGCACCTCTGCTCTCAACGTACTTACGGGCCCCTTGGAGTCCATGGAGAAAGGGGGGGCCCCCAGGGGGCCCAGGGGCCCCCGTCAGTTGTTGTGGGGCCCCTTACGCGTTCTGTGTCTTCTGGTTTGTTGCTGCTGCTACTGCTGCTTGTTCTTCCTAGGGCGCCCTGCAACAGCAGAAGCAGCAGAGGCAGCTCCTCCTGTTGCAGCAACAGATCCACAGTCGGTGTCTGCAGCAGCAGCAGCAGCAGCAAATACTGCAGCAATAGCTGCAGTAAATGCTAGAGAAAACAGAAGGGGAGGAGGGGACCCCCTAGGGGCCCCCTCAGGGGCCCCCTCAGATGTTACTGAGGTGCCTCTGAACGTCGTGGGGGCCCGCGTGGCGCTGTGGGTAAGGGTGGGGGGCCAGCCGTTGCTGCTGGGCTTAGACTCTTGCAAAGAGGGCCTCAGGCTGTTTGCTTCAGGCACTCCTGCATGCACTTCTGGAAGGGCTGCTGCTTCACAACAGCAGCAGCAGCAGCAGCAACGGCGGCAGCAGCAACGCGATGAAGCAGAGCACGCAGGATCCGCAGAGGTACAGAACCAATCAGAACAGCAGCAACAGCAGCAGCAGCAGCAGCAGCAGCAGCAGCAGGACGCGATAGAACAGCAGCAGGAGCGGGAGCAGCCGGAGGAAGGGGAGACGGAAGCCAAGGATAAACGGCGAAGGAAGCACCAGAAGCAACAGCAGCAGCAGCAGCTTGCCTGCTATGACCCTGATGCCTCTGCTGCTAGCACTTGGTGTTTAAACTGGCACGAGATGTGCACTCCTTTCTCTGAGACCCCCTTTAGCTGCAGGCCCTCCAAGCAGCATGATTCTCAATATGCCGCCCGGTAAGGCTTACTACTACTGCTACAGCAGCAGCAGCATCAGCAGCAGCAGCAACAGCAGCAGCTGCAGCAAGTGGTGCCCCGGCATGTTTCTGTATTAGAAGATATGGTGGATATTTCTGAATATGTGCACATCTCGTCTTTCTTTTCTTCTTTTCTTCTGAGGCATTGCGGCGTTTTCCCTTCAAGTGTATAGACACCTCCCAGGTGCTACTTTCAGTGCAGCAGCAGCAACAGCAGCAACAGCAACAGCAGCAGCAGCAGCAGCAGCAGCAGTGGGGTGTGTGTTTGTTGCTGCAGATATAAACAAGTAGTCGATGGCATCTTCGTCTCAGAATTGCGCTTAGAAGGCCACGACACAGTGGAAATGCTGCCTCCAGGCTACACCCCTACAGCAGGAAGGCAGACTCCGGGAGGGGCCCCCGGGGGGCCCCCAGGGGGGCCCCCAGGGAGCCTTCAAGACGCTGCTGTACCCTCTTTGTTTGCACTACGCCTGAGCAGATTTCCAGTGAAGTTGGTGCTGGAAAGAGACGTAGAGTTTGATGCATATAAGGGTTTAGATGGCGTGTGGGGGATAGCAGGTAAATGCACCTGCCGGGTTGCTGCACATAGAATAGAGAGCAACAAAAAGAGTAATAAAACAAGAAAAAATTAAAATGAAAAAAATAATAATAGTAATATAGACAATAGCAGAATAACGGGCTGTACGGGGATATCCTACCCCTTTGGGGCCCCCACGCTGCCGTGGCTGCCAAGCGTGCCTAAAACCCTAAACCCTAAACCCTAAACCCTTGCCCCTAAACATCGGCGGAAGTGCGTGTTGGGGGTTGTGATGGACAGCAGAGACACCGTATTATTTCCGTTTTCCTATGCATATATGAATATACTCTTGTTTACTTCTTGTGTATATCTTTTTGTTGGCGCATGCTATGCCCTACGTTTCCTCTTCTTTGAAACCTGCATTGATGTCTTCTGTCTTCTGCAGGACCCGATCTCTGCTGCCGCGAGGCGTCTTTATGGAATTTGCTCTTGGATCAGAATATAAAGGGAGTAGGGATAGACATAAATCTGCCTCCGTCAACGGGGCCCCCTTCTTCATTACCTGAGAAAACCCCCCAGCAGGAAGGGGGGGCCCAAGCAACTACCTCATCGCAGGAAGAGGGTCCCCGGGGGGCCCCTCCCGCACAGGAGGCTCCTCAGTCGCAGGAGGGGCCCCAGAGGGCTCCTCCCTCACAGGAGGCTTCCCCATTGCAGGAAAAGGGGTCCCATGGGGCCCCTATAGTCAGCGAGTTACAGCCGTCAAACATATACTTTTCAAGCGACGCGAGGAGGATATTCGGAGAAATGATGTGGGCAGAGCGCATGCAAACTGGGGCTGCTGGAGTGGATGCTTTGATTCATTTTTCTACTTTTGACTGGCGGCTTTGCGGAGAACAAATAGGACATCCGCTCTCGAGCACTTGGGAGGCCGTCGTAGACCTCAGGTGGGGGGAGGGGGCCTATAGAGCCTTTTGCAAGCGTTATACTTTTACAGTATATCACTGAGGTGTACAGACACTCCAACAAAGAACAAACAAACAACTCGCATGCAGGCGCGAACAAAGGCTGCCTGAGACAACACCAGCTTTGTGAATTTGGGAGGGAAGAATCGCCGTTAGAAATCCTTATTTCATCTTTATTCTTCTTCTTCCTTTACTTCCGCATGAAACTATGATGAAGTGCATTATTGCCACCGCAAGATGTTCACGTTTTTTCTTGCTTTCTCCTCTATTCTTTGTGATAGGGCCCCGATAGGGGGCTGCTTCAAAAGCTGCAGTGAGAGGTTCTGGTCTTCTTAGACTCTTCTGCCTCTGTTTCATGTGTACGTATGCTTCTGTATGCATAAACGATTCTGCTTTGAATGGTTGTTAGTGTGCGCTGTTGCAGAATGTACGGAAGTGCAGTGGCTTGTTGCTTGCAGCTCGGAGTGTATGGTGGTTCCTCCGCCAATGTGGAGAAGTCTAAGGGCGTGGCTGCCTTTAGATGTTGAGCATGAACTTTGCAAAGACCCAGAATCAGAAGAAGACAGCATAAATGTTCATGTATCTCGTCCTGTTACCCTGACAGACGAGTCGGGCGAGCGGACATACAGGCGTACCTGTCCTTTGTTGCAGCGAGCGAATACGCGCCCTCTTCCTTCCCTTTCTTTCACCCTTTCTCAGACCTCCCGAGACAGCCCGCGCCTTCAACTGCCCTTAGAACACCTTGTTATTCATGAACCCGGTGTAGGAGAAGTCCTCTGCGTCGTGCCTCAGCCTTTCTTGTCTATGGGAGCTGACCAGTGGCGGCAAATCCGCTTCGGCACGAGGGGTTTGTTTGCCTTTCACACTTCAGACATGACTGAGAACAACAGAAAATGCAGCTATGCAACTATAAGCCAAAATTGCAGTTGCCCAGTGGAGTGTACAATTCATGCCCCCTCGCAGTGTTGTTCTTGTGTTGTTCTTTTGCTTTGCCGCTGTTGTGCACTGACTTGGTGTTTCCCTCGTGTGGTTTGCATTTCTGCTTCTGCAGTTCTCTCTGCTTTTAAAGTAGTGATGGACAGGGACAACTGGCGCGTGGGGCTGCAAGAGAAATCCCCTGAGCCTAACAACGACTCCGCCTGCGCTGCTCGTGCCGAGTGCATGTCAGTGAAAAGCTGCAGTTTTTTAGGAAAGAAAAGTTGTTCTTATCTGCCGTTGTGGCTCAGAGTCTAACGTCTGTTACTGCCCTTGCTCGATTGTTCTTGCAAGAGGGAACTTGTACAAGCAAACATCTTGTTTTCGTTGGATGTACGCAGAGGCGAACAGACGTATGTACCCTACACAAACCGGTGCGCCGATCCTGATTGCAGCGTAAAGATACTCTTCGAGTTAAATCAAGACACCAAGTGAGCTGTGCATGGCAGTGCCTGCAGGCTGTCGCGCTGTGTCTGTTCCAGCAACCCAATGCAGCATTCCGCTAATTAGAGCGGCTTTCCCTCGCTGTTCATTTGGGCCTTTTGCACAGCAATATGCATACCTCATACACATGTATAGACCATTAAAGAATCATTCATTAGAGTACGCGTTAAGCTTTTTCGCCTTTGTTCACAGCTCAGCACACTGACAGGAAAGCGCTTCGGCGTACTTCATAATTATTTTCATCTATGGATGTGTTTTCTTTGGTGGGTGTCATGCAGAGTATGTGAACTGGCATGGTGGGTGCCAGGTGCGGTAGTAACCGCAGTTGCAGCTCTCGTGACTCTTGAACTGTTTGTCCTGCATCTTCGCCAAAAAGTAGTGGCTGAAGCGTGCTCAGGAAGACAGTGATAAACTCGGTTGGGCCGAGCGGGGCCTGGCGCTCTTCAAAGCAGACGCAGCCAGCAACCCTTTGTTTGCGTTTGGGGCTGTTCAAACCAAATTTAGTAACACCGTTAAGGCTGTTCTAGAATAAGCTGTTGCAGACATGAATGAAGTCTGAGCCTTCAGAGAAATGCATGTGTTTAGCGAGTAAAGCAAAAAGGTAGTCTGCCCCTATACTGCGAAGGTGTTTATTCGAATTATCTTCTTTTAGGTTTCGTTGCACTTTCACTTGATTACAATGAAGTACCCAGCACGGTAACTTTCGTTTCGCTGTTTTCGTTAGATGCGGAGTTATTGTAGGGGAAGGGTGCACCAGAGAGGCAGGCAACTGCTAGGCGTGACTTTCTGGGCACCTTTGTGTTTCAGTAGGGGCGTTTACAACTTCATTGGTGCTTCCCATGCCACTGTTAGCTGCAGCTCTAACCCCGCTCTTGCCGATATGAGCCCTTTGCTGAAGTAGCCCACAAGGTAGTGTTGTTGCAACATGACCTTAAAGCACTGGGGATAGGGCTTTACTGACATCGACGA